TGTTACAATGTTTCTTAGAGTTGCAGCTCAGAGGCCGGCAAGGCAGTTGGGGAAGCTTGGCTTCCTCCGTCACTGAAGCAAGCAAGCCTTCCTGTTCGCGTCAGCTGCCTGGCTGCCGGCCGCCATCTTGGTTGGCAGTTAATTTGCATATCTCCCTGATTAGCCAATGGGAAGGGTAGCGGAGGTATGGCTAATTACCATGTTTCTCTTTTATTAGATAGGATATTATTACCAACTACAGAAATACAAAAAGATATGAAACATCATGACATATCAAAAGTTATAATTTTGAAACTGGAATACCAACAAAACCTTGAGACCATGAATTTCAAAACCCAATAAATCTTACCACATAAAAATTTAAAACATCTATCCTGACAAATACATGAAATTAAAACAACACAGCCCTAGCCAGTTTGGCTCATTGGCTAGAGCGTCAGCCCGAGGACTGAAGGGTCCTGAGGACGGAAGGGTCCCGGGTTTGGTTCGGGTTCAGTTCTGTTCAAGGGCAGGTACCTGGGCTGTAGGCTCGATCCCCAGTCCTGGTCAGGGCACATGCGGGAGGCAACCAGTAGGTGTGTCTCTCTCGCATCGATGTTTCCCTCACTCTGTTTCTCCCCCTCCCACTCTAAAAATCAATGGAAATATATCCTCGGGTGAGGATTAAAAATAACACAACGTAAGTCAAAAGACAACAAATCAGCTATACATCTGTCCTATATAACCAGTTAATATTTGCAATGTCAATATGTGAGAATTTTTTGTAAAGCGAAATACTTTCTATCTCTTCGTTTCAGTGTAAAGACACACGCCTGGTTTTCCTACCTCCCCCTCAGCTTCCTTCTATTCGTTCCTCACCTTCACCATCTTCACACCTTCCACCTACTCAGGACCAACACCAAGACCCTAGTGATGTCTCCCGGTTCCACGGGTTTAAACAGCCTCTATGACCTAACAACCTGCAAATGTCCATTTCCAGTGGGAAATACCCCCTGAACGGAAGACCTGCCTTCCGATCGGGCATCTCCACCTCACAGTCTACCGGGTACATGCACATCGACATTTTCTTTTAAGCCTCTTGATTTTTATTTACCCCAACACTCTTTCTTCCCCAACCTGCCCCTGACCAATCTTTCCTGTTCCGGAAAAGGGCAACTGCTTTCATCCAATACTCAAGCCAACTTCTTCGGAGTCACCTTTAGCTCCTCTCATTCCTTTCTCAAATCAATCCATCCTGCGCTGTCACCTCCACTTTTCAGAGTATGTCTCGGATCTGACCATTTCTGACGACATCCTCCCCTAACACTGTGGTCCCGGCCACCATCCCCTTCTTCCTGGACCACGGGAGTCACAGGACCAGGTGCCGGGCTGCCTTCGTCCCGGGGTCGGCGGGAGCTAGAAACTCGGACTGCTGAGTTCTTTAAAAACACACACGGCGCCCTGTGCGGGCTGCGGCGATGCGGCAGGCGCCAACCTGGGAGGCGTAAGCCAGCGCACCCGGGCCGCTGGGACACGGGGGTGCCCTG